TAGTCATCTATATTAACTTGCCTGAAGATGTTCTAAGACAATGTATCTTAAAATGAACAAAAAAAGGGTTAACAGAAAGAAGGTGAAGCATAGGGAAGGTAAGACCAAAGAATAAGATTTTGAGTCTAAAAAGGGTAAACTAACCTACAGCCTTTTGGCAGATACCTAGTAGAGAAGTGAAGTGTCCTGTTGAATTAATATTAGCCATTATGATTTATTTTCAGTAGCCTCTCTCTCTTGCTCCACCCTTACCAAGCAGACATCTGATTTTAATTTAGTTTCATAGGGAGAAATCTTGCTGCCAATAAGTGAAGGAAATTGAAATCTGACTTAAAAACTAGTGTGTTGTGAGTTTAGTTGGTATGAACCCAATTCCCCTGAATCTCATCAACTCTGGGTTGAATTGAATCAATCAGTTTTCTGTACATATAAAAAGTTTGGACTTTGAAGTGGGAGCTCATTCAGTTATTCAGCAAATAATTATTGAGTGCCTACCCAGTACCAAGTACTGTCCCAGGTTCTGAGGATATTAACTTCAAGGTATTAATCTACATGCAACTGAAAATGGGTTTTGGGGTTTGGGGATGCTATGGAAAAATACATGGGCTATATGTATGCAGCACTGATAAACTTTTGAAGCAAAAATTGGGAATTTACTCACAGTGTTATGCATATGCTTTCTGAAATGTGGAAGCAGGGAAACAATTGTCTAGAATTATGTGCTAGAAAATTCAGTCCTTAAAATGAATCTATGGTTCGCTTTAGTCTCTAGGGGAACCCTATAATCACATAATAGTATTCTTATTTTATAGATGATCAGAATAATTGATCAATGTTGGTTGAACAAAGCAGTTGAGCATCTGCTTTTGGATCAGGGCCTGATCGTGGGGTCTTGGAATCTAGTCCCACATCGGGCTCCCTGTGAGGAGCCTGCCTCTCTGTCTCTCATAAATAAATAAAAAAGGGGGAAAAAAGAAAATAGAAATTAAAAAAAAAGAAAGAAAAAAATTTCATTTATTAATTTGAGAGAAAGCACACGCAGGGGGGAGGGGAAAAGCAGACTCTCCACTGAGCAGGGAGCCTGATAAGGTGCTTAATCCTAGGACCCTGGGCTCATGACCTGAGTTGAAGGCAGACGCGTAACCAACTGAGGCACCCAGGTGACCCTCTATGTAACTCTTAACTGGCCTCCCACCAACCCATTCTACTCTGTCACCCAAAGTGATCTTTTCAAGACAAATCTGATCATATACTCTCTTGCTTGATTTTACTTCCTCCCCCCACAGCCATGCCTGGCTTTACATTCTTTCAATGAATGTTCTACAGATCGCAATGCTTTTTCAGCCAACCTAAGCCTTGCCTCCAGACTTGTGTAACTGGCATTCTCAAAGCCATTCTTCTCCGTGACTCTTTTCCCAAAATTATCAGTCTGCCTTACTGGACTATAAACTTAGGGCAGTGTCAGGCTTGCTTTCTCCTGCCACTCGTAGAGCCTGAAATAGTGTCTAAGACATACTAAGGCAGTGTTTTGTTTTGTTTTTTAAGGTTTTATTTATTTATTCATGAGAGACACACATAGAGAGAGGCAGAGACACAGGCAGAGGGAGAAGCAGGCTCCATGCAGGGAGCCCAATGTGGGACTCCCAGGACCCTGGGACCATGCCCTGAGCCGAAGGCAGATGCCCAACCTCTAAGTCACCCAGGCATCCCAAAGCAGTGTTTTAAAATGGCTTTTGCTGGGGATCCCTGGTTGGCTCAGTGGTTTAGCGTCTGCCTTTGGCCCAGGGCACGATCCTGGAGTCCCGGGATCCAGTCCCAGTCAGTCCCACATTAGGTTCCCGGCATGGGCCTGCTTCTCCCTCCTCCTGTGTCTCTACCTATGTCTATCATAAATAATCTTTAAAATAAAAAAAAAAAGACTTTTGCCTTCACTAGGAAGGCTACTTATAGTTACTTTCAACAAATATTGCCATATATTGAATCTAACTTTAAGGCTCATTATGTCTAGGTACTAAAAGCTGTCTAGTTCATTTGGTTCATCCAAGATGGCAAATCATTTATTTCAGCCTGCTATCCCAACTACTTACCAGATCTGCCAAGCCATTCAGTAATGTTTCCTCATCACCCACTTTTTCCTTAACACTCAGCGTTTTTTCATATAACATGTTAACATAGGTGACCTATTATTACTTCCGTCATTTGAATGTACCCTACTGCCCATGTTTTCCCTTAAAAAAACAAGGACATGTAGTATTACAATATCTTGATTTTCCACTGCCCCTTCCAGCTTCCGACATCTCCCCACCATGCATATGTACATCCTGCATATCCTCAAGAGAACTAGCTGCTTTAACATTTCCATTGTGGTAGTTATTTGTATATTCCCTTACGGTTTATAACGTCTTGATGTTTCATCTTTGTAATTCTGAAAGATAGACGTTGGTGCACCCTTTCTTTGCAGAGAACAAATCGAGGCTCAGAAAACTGTCTATCAAGTTAACGGATGACCCTTTTATTAACCAAACTCCCAAGTCAACTATTCACCTGAAGTCCTGTCATTTCATATTTAAAGGCAGCAGAGGTACTCCAGTGACTCTGAAATGTGTATGTATGTGTTAAATTCTATTGGAGCTTAGGGAAAATAGTTACCAAATATCCCATCACAGCCAGGGGCTGGGGAAAATGAAGAGATGCTGGTAAAGGAGAGACATCCAGTTGGATGAGGATCTAATGTTCTGGGGACCTAATGTACAGTATAGTGACTAACAGTACAGTAAATGTATTCTTGAAAGTTACTATCAGAGTAGACCTTAAATGTTCTCATCTCACCCTAACAAGAGTGGTGAAGGATGTGTTAACTTTATTGTGGTGAACATTTCACAATATATGTATAAAGTCATCATACTGTACACCTTAAACTTACACAATGTCAATTTTACTCAATAAAGATGGAGAAAAAGTCTCACCACAGAGATTGTGGCGGAACCAGAATGCTGTTCTGTAGTTATGTTGGTTCATGTTATTTTGCCCATTATATCAAGTATAAATTCCTCATGTTTGGCTCACCATAATCTGGTTCTTTGCTATCACATCTCCTTTTCAGAACTTGCCTCTTTATTCAGATTTTATTCCACTTCCTCACATGCTAGTTCCAGAGATTGTGATTTCTCGTCTGTAACCTACTCTGTGTTCCTTACATGTATGTCCTGAAGATATCAAAGGGGAGAGTAATGTGAAAAAAATCATGTAACTGTTAACAAAAAAAGCATTATACAAATATAAGCTGTTAGATACTGTTTGTAATGGCTGATAAAATATCATCAAAGAAAAGTGCTTCCATAAAAGTTTTATTTATCCCCACAACAACCCTGTGAGGTAGGGTGATCAGGGCATTTGAAGATGAGAAAACTAAGTCTACATTACTTGTTCACGGCTATACTGCATAGTAAATATGTAGAAATTAAACTGAGATTTTTAAATATCCATGACTTTTATATTGATTCACATGGAAAAAGGCAGAGAGAATATTAACTCCCCCCTACCTTAATGCCAAAAGGACACTGCCTTGAAAAATCCCATTTCAAAAGATGAAAGTAGTATTTCATTGCTTATTTCTACAAAGATTTATAAAATAAAAAAATAGTGAAATATTTTACAGTTAATATATATAATGGTCTCATTCAGGGATGTCCTTCAGCTGTATATATGATCAACTATTCCAAGTGCTAGAAATGCAAACTCTTAAAAAGTATGAGACGAGAATGATAATGAGCAGTAGCCTCAATCTTCTTTATTATTCCTCCATGTATCTTGAATAAGTTCTGTGAAATCTGGTCCCAGTTAAAAAACAAAAAACCAAAAACCAAAACCCCACAAACCTACCACAGAGAGATGCCTGGTATTAGTTGCCTACTCTCAAACCACTGTCACATTATTTAAAACAGTGATTTCCCAAAGCTGGCTATTAGAATCACTTGGAGAGCTTTTAAAAAAACACAGAACTCTGAGGCCCCACTCTAGGTCCATTGAGATAATTCTGCAGGGGCTAGGCCTCAGGAATCTATTTTTTAAGCTCTTCAGAGTAACTCTAACAGTCAGGTTTGGGAAGCTCTGATGTATTTAAAAATACTAACTAATATAAAAACCAAAAAGTAAGTATAAACTTGCTGCTCTCTTATCCCCTTTAAAAAATTTCTCAAAACACATTATATCTCTGAACTCTTGCCTCTGGGCAAGTAATTTCAATTCAAGATACAGCGAAACATTTTATAAAAATGTATCCTAGTGAGTGAGAGTTGGATTCCAATAATAATTTAAGTGGCATTTAAATATAAGATACTGAGTTTTGTGGTTCTTAATCTGAAATTTTTAAATGTGTTTTTATACAGGTTCCTAGCAGGCTTTTCACCTTGGGAAGATATGAAAAGTAATGACATAATCAAGCATATCAGCACTGAAAAAATACTATACTCAAATATAGCTCATGAGAGGAATAAGAAAGTGAATGAATGACAACCTAAGGCCTTTTGGCCCATACATTTTTGTTCCCAGTCCACTCTTCCCCTATAAGGGGAAATAAAATAAACATTCTTTCCTAGTTGCTTGGCATAGTTATTCAGTGGGTAACTATAACTAAGTTAATTTAGATACACAAGATTAAAAGAGATAACAAATAAATACCTAGGAAGACAAAGAGAAGTCAGTTCAGAAAACCTTAACTAGCTAATGATGTGGTATATAACACCATTATGTTAGTACAATTAAATGAAGGCTTCAGTGTCCTTTACATTTCAGCTTTATGTGATTGACACAAGAAGTGGAAGAGATCTGGTCCTTATGAAGAATTCTGTGCTCGTTGTAAAGATTTGTAGGAATAATGAAATGCTTTCTTCTTTGATGAGATGAAGTCTCTGTTTTCAGGCAAGTTGACTGAACAAAACAAACTTCTTTAGAAGGTTGAATGAAAGTAATATCTAGCTGAAGAAGTCATTGGCCAAAGGTAACTTTTTAAAAACCATTCTATGTTTAACACTAAAAACAAAAACAAAAACAAAACAAACAACAACAACCAAACAAACCAGAAAAACCAGAGAAATATAAAAAAACAATGTACACATCCATTTTCACTGACAGGTACAAGAAAATAGCCATTTATAGAAGTTACAATGCTTTCAACAACCCCCCCTCCCAATTTTGGGAAACAAGATAAAGCCATTGGGTAAATAAATATACATACTAGCTAATATAAAACAATTATGGTTTCAAATTGTTATCAACTCTTTTAAGACTCAAAGAGAAATATGATGATATAAATCTGATTAGGGCTACATATATTACACAGAATTTAAAAACACAACTGATTTAAACATCCTAACAACAATACAAATATTTAAAAGAATGTCTTAAAAGCCAGACATTTATCACTGGAAATACCACAATTATAATATGTACTTCAGATATGTAATATGTATATAGGTCACTTTTGCTGTGTCTTATCATGTATCCATCTCTCCTGCATCTCCTACAGTCAGTTTTTAAAGAGTTCATGTTTCCTGTGTGAATTGAAGGGGTTGGGCACATCTCAATTCACAAAATATACACCTCCACTTAACTAAATGGAAGTGTTTAAGATAACATTTACCAAGAGTTAAAGAAAAGGGATAATGAGAAGGTAAAACATACTAAAGTGGAAGGAAACTGGATAATTCTCTTAGCAAATTTAAAATGACCCAAATCAAGTAATGAAGAAAACCAAATTGTTCTCAAGAAATTTTCTCAGTCCATATGAAATTTCTCTTTATTTCTTGTTATGCTAGATTCCTTGGTGGCTGACTTAAAGAACTCTCCTAGCATAGGACTGAAAACAGCTTTACCATTAATAAAAGATGATTAAAAGTTGGTGTTTATTTAAAGTGCCCAAGGCACAACACTACAGGTGCTTACATTTCCCTTTGAGTTATGGGAAAGCCCTTTGAGACTGTGTTTACTTAATCAGAAAAGCTTTCAGCAATTATAATGCACGCTGAAAGCTTAGATCTTGTATAGGTTTTGGGTTTTACGGTTTGAGCAAAAAAGGGAGCAAGGAGAAATGTAACTAGGTTCACAATTTTGAGCAAGAGCGTATGTAAAGGTAACGTATGTACATTTTATTTCAAGAAAGACAGGAGACAAACAGCATAAAGATGCCCAGATGCCCTAAAGATAAATACATTTCAAAGATTCTCATTAAAATGAATCTGGAGAATTTTTTCCTGCAAGCAAAATACCTTTCTTTAAATTAAAACAAAAACAACCAAAACAAATAATAATAATTAAAAAAAAAACAGTATTCTGAATTGCAAATGCTTTTGCTTTTTTTTTTTTTTGCAGAAAATCTGCCATGATTATTTTTTTTAATGAATAAGGATTTTCCACAAAACAGGCTTGCTCTACATGCTAGATTTTTTTAAACAGTTCAGTGACACAATATGCTAACTACATACACAACAGATAATATAGTAAGAAAACACTCAACCTGATGAAAAGTTAAAATCTTCATTAATACACTGAAAATTGACATAACTCATGCCTTTAAAATCAAAAATACAAAAATTAAATGTTTTCCTAAAAAGATTTCCTTATTTTAAGGATTCATTTGAAAATGAAGCTGCATGTAATTTGTACAATAAGTTGTACAAGTAAACAGGTAATATACATAAAAAATTAAGTGACATACTCCTCAATTATCAGTTGTCCACCTTTAATTTCCAATACTGTACTTTCTTAACAAGCATACAAAATATCAAACTTCTCTTTAGAAAAAGTGCCGTTCTTTGACATCCTTTACACAAAAACAGTCTGAGCCTGTGGCATGTTAATGCAGTCGAGAGGCAAAGCATACTAACTTTTACAAATTCTACCTTCCATAAAAAGCCTCCCGAAAAGGAGATTACACGCCACTATAAAAATATCAACCTCTTGTGGTAGCTGCATTAGAGAACCAAGGCTTGAAGACTATTTTCATATAGCATAGAAAACCACTATGAGAGCATATTAACTGCATTGGTGGCTTGGGAGTTTACTGTGCCACAGGATTATGCATAGCTACTGTAAGGTACCAAGACTGTTACACAGAGTTTTAAATTGATTGTAACCAAGAGCATAACAGAGGTACTACCAGCCCATGCAAAATAACTAAAAATACTGAGTCACTGTGCTGAATACTTCATTCCTGGAGAAAACCAAAGGCAGCAGTAACCAAATCAAGCCCAACAGGTGACCAAACTCATTCTCCTCAAAGATTGGTGAGCACAGTGAAGTCTGAGGTATACCTTTATCCATTAAATCTGTGTGCCATTGCAAGATATTACCATTTGGGAACACATGCCATCACAATGGTTTAAATCTTTTGAATATTAGTCATTCATATATTCTTATCTACCCAGTCCTTTGATTTTTTTTTAAAGATTTCACCTACAGTAGAATATTACAGAAACAAAATATAAATGCATGTCTTTCTAAATGAAACTTACATGGACTAAAAGTAGAGAATATTTTTAAACAAATATACAATATGCAGGCAGACAAAGCAGGAAAACGGCCATTCAAATGTATAATAAAAAACTAAAAATCAACTATTTCCAGAAAACTATGAAGCGCCTCAACTAAAAGGAATGCATAATGAAAATCTAATCTAATACAGGTCAAAAATGTAAAAAGGTTATAAACCTTAACAGGAAAAAATAAAACAACTTTTACTGGCCATTCCTGTTGAAATGAGAATCTTAAAGTAACAGAAAAGTGGCTACAAACCCACTTAGAGCACCAAACAGAGAGAAAATAAAAGTCCATTTTCATCTCTGTTATTATCATAAAATCCTGTGTGACTACAGGTCAAACTGCTGGTGGCAGAAACAGAATTCTTTATAAACTGCAGATGTCCTGTACATAAAAAAATTTCACTGGAGTTGCACTAGTTCTAAAGACTCTTCTGTTTTAGCCTACCTACTGTATGTATTCAATCTGAGATAAAGTCTCTTTCTGTAACCCTTGATTATTATTGGGCACCAAAGATAAGAAAAGCAAGACGGGGTACAAAAATGCAAAATTTCAACAGTAATGGCAATGTTTTTGTCTTAGTCCAAAAGGGTCCTGCATTCTCTCCCCCTTCAGTGATTTGACAAGTCTTTGTACTTAATCTGGGGGCAGCAAATCATGCAAGCGAAATCTGTCTCTGATGTGAGGTCGAACATCTTCATTCTGTGTGGAGAAAAAGACATTTTTAAAAACCATGTAATTTCAAAAATATGATCCTCGTAGCATTGTGAACATTCCTTTGCAGAGAAAATATACCACTATTTATTTTTACAACATACGTTAATATTGTTTGCCAAATATAAAGATACTATATGGAAGGTGATAACTTAGAATTCAATTTAAAGAAACCTGTCATTCAAATTTTAAATCTGTAAAAAACAATTATGCAACTAAGAGGTAAAACCAAAAGACAGGTAAAAGTGTTAAGCCACTGAACTCTACTTCGTATATTAGGAAAAAAATCACCCCAGAATAAAGTTTCAGTAGCATAAGCATAAATTCTAGATCTGAACTATGAAAGGAAAGTGAAATCAGTTTAATACTACTAGTTATTGATGTGTAAGAAGCCCAGTCAAATAAAAACATTCAATCTATGGTATTTTTAAATACCGATAAGCATGATTTTGATGTAATTTACAAGGTTAGAAAAATACTTATAATCCTTTTCAACTTTTGCCCTAATTTCACAGCATGTTCACTTAAAATGTCAGTGCACACAAAATAAAGCAATTAGAAAGGTTTATTTCAATAGAGTTGAGGCAATAAAAGCAAAACAGAAAAAGAAAATTAAGATATACTTACCAGTTCTACAAGCTTCTCCAGAAATGGAATCAATTTTAGGAGTTCATTGTCATTTTTATCCATAAACCAGCTTTCTATAGGGATTCCATTAGATAGCTAAAACAATAAATAAGTAATTAAATCCAATTTACATTTTGCCTACTTTGTAAAAGCTTAAAAGAGAAATAACAGATACTTAAGAGACACTGATCTATGTAAGTTCCTCTGAAAAGGAATGCCATCAAAGTTTATGCTTGTCATATTCCAACAACTCAACGGGGCAAGAGACAGATGTTAAGGAATACATCAAAGCCTAACTGGTTTTTTAGCATAATGTGTCTTCTTAGTATATATGAAACTAAACAAGAAAGATTCACTGAAACAAGTTTTGCATTAATGTAACTACAAATATTACTTGATTGATTCAAGAAATAGCTACTGGGATCCCTGGGTGGCGCAGCGGTTTGGCGCCTGCCTTTGGCCCAGGGCGCGATCCTGGAGACTCGGGATCGAATCCCACGTCGGGCTCCCAGCACATGGAGCCTGCTTCTCCCTCTGCCTGTGTCTCTGCCTCTCTCTCTCTCTCTGTGACTATCATAAATAAATAAAAATTTAAAAAAGATATTTAAAAAAATAAAAATAAATAAGAAATAGCTACTATCAGTAAGTGAAAGGTGCTGTGAATTAAGGCGTACTGCCAATCTAAACAGAACACTACTAGAAAGCCTGTCCTTTTATACAGGGACGGTATCACATTCATTGTTTTATTCCCAACAAATAGTAGGATAACCTGAAACAGCAGGAATGTAACAAACAGATGCAATGGTATTTCACTGAAGGAGGAGTCTAGAAACAAGAATGCAAAACATACTTGTTTTATAGTAAATAACCTCTAGGTTGTCTTTAACATTTATGCAGAATACTAAGTTTAAGATGGAAGATAACTGAAATGATTTTATCCAGAAACCAATATGAAATTCTTAAAAACATATTTCAAAATGTGAGCAATGACCTAAATTGAACATAGGTCAATACCATATGCAGTTTTCCCCTTTTACATCTTTTAACTTGTTTTATATACACACTCAATCCAATTTCCACCATCCCTAATCTGCACTGACTTATTGTGAAGGAAATCTCAGACCTATCACATGAACATTATTCATAATGTAAAACATATCTTGCAAGGATGGCTCATTTCTAGTCCAAGTTATATTTCAAAGAAACACTGACACGGTATAAACATACTGACAAAACAGTCTAAGAAATTATTTCAGAATGTCAAAGCAAACAGACTAAAACATGGGTAAGCTATTTATAATTCTCAAACATGTTTACAAATAATTATTTAACAACTGCTAGGAATGCTATGAATTATGTGTGTGTGTATGTGTATATATATATATATTAAAGATTTTATTTATTTATTCATGAGAGACAAAGCAAACAGACTAAAACATGGGTAAGCTATTTATAATTCTCAAACATGTTTACAAATAATTATTTAACAACTGCTAGGAATGCTATGAATTGATTGTGTGTATGTGTGTGTGTATATATATATATAAAAGATTATATATATATATATATAAAATATTTTATTTATTTATTCATGAAAGACACAGATAGAAGCAGAGACACAGGCAGAGAGAGAAGCAGGCTCCATGCAGGGAGCCCGATGTGGGACTTGATCCCAGGACTCCAGGATCACTACCTGGGCTGAAGGCAGGCGCTCAACTGCTGAGCCACGTGGGCATCCCAAATATGTATATTTTATACTCTTCTCTCTCTCTTTTTTAAGATTTTATTTATTTATTCATGAGAGACACAGAGAGAGAGAGGGAGACAAAGGCAGAGGGAGAAGCAGGCTCCATGCAGGGAGCCTGACGTGGGACTCAATCCCGGGTCTCCAGGATCATGCCCTGGGCTAAAGGTGGCACTAAACCACTGAGCCAGCCGAGCTGCCCTTATAGTCCCTTCTTATTCAGACTTATTACTCAGATTTTTTTATCTGTGTTGTACTTCATTTAAAAGAAAACTTTCCACAAGAAATACAGAGATTTGGCCTTTCTAATTTTAAAGATAACACTTAACAGGGAAATTTCACCAATGAAAATTCTGTTCACCCATCATATACTGTTTGGCAGCATTTGTTCTCATTATATGTAATTTCCCAATCTGAAATTTGTTTAGCAACCCTTTCATCCTACCTGATATGCAAAGGCTTGTGGTGAGTTGTCAATTATTATAGTCTTTGAAAGATCTCTTCCAAGGATATTTAAGTCCTTTATATAGTTTCCTTGTACACAAACACAATGTTCACGAAAAAGCCGATGCCTAAACATAAAAATAAAAACAAATTAACTTAAAAAAAAAAAACTCTAAAAAGTACAACATATATTGAAACATACAGACATACCATAGGCTTTAGAGTTTAAGCCTTATTATTTTCTCTCACAAAGGAAATTCAAATACCAATGTGAGCCTAAGCTTTGGGCTACAGTTTTACTTTAAAAAATGTTAGCAATTATTGAAACCTTACAACCAAATATTACCATGCCTTTAAGAACTTTGGCTTATCCCAAAATGTTATATTAAATTATAAAGAGGGATTAAAAACTCTGTAAATTGTTTTTGTAATTTATTTACCCAGGAAAGCTCAGTTCAGATGCAGCATCTGGTTGTCAGCGAGGTCCTGCTTTTTAACCAATTTTCCAGATGGTTGACTGAGGCACAAGGAGGTCAAGTGACTTGCCCAAGGTCACACAGTAAGTCAGTGGTTAGCCCCGCATTGGAACCCAGGATCCTCCTGGCTCCCAGTCCTTTGCTCTAACCAGAAGACCACACAGCCTCCCTATCCCTGTACATGCCAGAATAGAAAATATAAGAAGGAATGTTTCTGTGTTGGCATTTTTAAAAAATGTTTTTAGTTTCCCTTATAGTTTTGAGAAAAGATGTGGAGGCCAAAACATTCCATCATTTCAACTTTTCCCAAACCCATCTTTTAATTTAGTGAGTGTGTATATGATCATTTGAAATGAAATGATGAATTCAGATTTATTACAAATGTAAACTGATGTTTTACACCAATGATACTTAACTGAAAAATGTTATATCATTTTTAAAAAGCTATTAAAGGCTTTATAATAATAATACTTATATACTGTCATATTATATCATCTCATTTAGCACTCAAAATGTTAGTTTGTGAATATTACTAATCATTAATATAGATCACCTTGAAATATTCCCTTTGCATACATTAATAATTTGGTAGTCTGGCTTCCTTGTGTCTTAATCCCACTAAACAGTTTTTCAGCAGCTAGGGCCTACTTATACCTGTAGTTTTAATTATGAAATTTCAAGAAAAGGGCATTTTCTACCAACAAAATGTGCCATAGCTCTAAAACAACAAAACAACAAAACTCAACCTTAAAAATATCAGTGCCAGTGGTGATGACAGTTTTCCAACCAGACAAAATGTAGTAAAAATAGTTCTCTTCCTCCCTTTTATAAAGAAGACTTTTAATTAAGTGATCATCTACTTCTGTATGGTTTAAAGACCACCCTACTTTGAAAAGATAAGACCAGACAAAAGAATTTAAGACCTGGTTGGGCCTATAAAAGATTCCATTTTTTTATTTGTATAAACATTTATGTATGCGGAAACTGGAGAGGCAAATGCAGTGTGTACATGCAAGTTACTACTAATGTTTCTTCCCCAATAGCAGCAAACTCACCCAAGACAGGAAACAAATGAATATGTATGTGGATACTAAGGATTACTTCAATTAAATTACACTAAAACTCCTCCCACTTATTCAGGAGAGTGAGGATCTGTAGTAGGTATTTCAGTTTTAGAAAGAAACTACTTTTGCCAGTCATCAGATTTGCATTTGGACTCATGAGATTCAGAGATTATAGAATTTCTGAGTCTACCTTGTCTTCAACATAATTCCCTTTAGCACTAATGAATTCAATATATCATTCAAAAAGTTTCTCCTGTTTTAAATTATTCAAATGCAACTACATAAAACAAATTTAAACTTCCAAATGTGTAGATTTTATAAAACTAGTTTAAAAGAGGGGTGTTAATTTGTAACATCATAATTCCATAACTATGACTTGCTCCCTGGTAAAATGAAAGCTCTAAAAGAGAAAGGCATGTATTGATCACCACTGTTCATGGAACACTGGAGGTGCTAAATAGAAATCTTCAGAATGAATGAAGTCATCAAAACAAAATCATTTGTGTACTTTTTTAAAGTTAGGTAAAATTAGCATGTATTATACTTTCATGAATAGAATACCATTTTCATTTTTGTGTCTGATGCTTATTTATATGGAAGATTAAAATGGAAAGTGACAAGGACAAATTTTGATCCTTTAGGTTAAAAAAAATCAAAGTTCTATTTACAAGAAAGAAAATCTGCTAAGCAAGACATCAGAAAAAGTCTCAGCATAACTGCAAATACTCAATAACAAAGGTACTATTGTAACAGTAGAAACTAGGATTTTCCACTAAAAAATATGGAAGAAAGTATTCAAGAAAATGAATTCCCAGCTATTAAAGTTTTTTTTATGAGCCTTTTCTGGCATCTCTCATAGCTCTTGGTCAAAAAAATCCAAGATTAACTCTGGCATCTTAAAGGATGCATCAAGACTGCTGGCAGTCTTAATATCTCACTTCAGTTGACAGAAATAATGGAACTTATTTTCAAACTGTTTTAAAATTACCCAAGGCACTCCCACCTAACCAGGAACACACTGCATCTGCTGGCTCAGGACACACACAAGGAACTGAGTCCAGATCAGGATAACTTGAGTGACTAAACCAACTGCAATTTCCAATTAGATTCATGTAATGTTTTCTTTCCATGGAGGACAAATTTGCTCTTGAAAAAAGCAAAAGAGTTTAATTTATCCTTTCTGTTAAAATTAACCTTTATTTCTCTATGCCATTAAAAAAAGTGACATAACATGCATTATTTCAGAGACAGGAAGTGAAAATATCATGCACACAGTGAAAAATTCCACATACCCCCAATCTCCCCCAAGTCCCAAAAGAAGTGAGGATACAAATATAATTGTGAGTGAATAAATACATTTGATCCTTGTATCCTTTAAAGAACGTCTGTCTGAAGTTAAATCATTAGGAACTCTTAAAGAGTTTGGGGGCTTACAAAAATTCATTTCACCATTCAACACAACCAATCTCTATATATGCAGCCAACTGAAAATGGCCATCAAAATTAAATAGAATCATAGTAATTTCATAGATCAGTGTGACAGACATTTCCACTATTTCTTAATTAAATTTACCTGACCAGTTGCTTTTTAGGGTCTAGTATGTTCAGTAACTTGTCTGCATACACCTTCTTAGAAGCAGTAAAAAGAATGATCTACAAATTCAGGGGAAAAGAAGTAATCATTATACATGATCTAAATATGGGTACTATATTGAATAAAATAAAAATACTTATGTAATTAGCTTAAGCATGTTTACCTCATACATCTGAGACATTCGTTCCAGGAATTCCCTGAAGAATGGTCTTAATCTCACATAAACCTAAAGAAATAACAAAGATAGGCTTCACTAAATAAACACATAAAGTAGAAACAACGTATTTATAAGACATGTTGTGTTCTAACTTTGGATATATTATAATTAAGAAGTTCATATTTTAAAGTAATAGAAAAGTATACTAAGTACCACTCAACCAAATAGATTTCATATACAAAAAATCACTTAAAACAATCTTTTGGTAGGGTAATAATCATCATTGGTGATGTCACTTTTATATTTAAATGGCAGCATACAGTATAATTTTAATAAACATTTCAACTAAAAATGGAAGGTTTCCCTTTGAGATTTTGATCCACCAATCAGCTCCATCTTCCAGCCAGGTAGCATCCATCCAATAATTAGGCAGGCTGTGTGTCCACCTCTAGCTGACCTGTCTCAATGACCTTCCTCTAATACTCAGAATTTCTTCTCAACAATCACCTGCTAAGAATACTTTATTTTATTTATTTTATTTTTTGAATACTTTTATTTTAAATCTCTATTATTAAGATAAATAATGTTCAAGAAAGAGATGTCTGGATTGGTGGGTTTAAATAACTGGAATTTTTCAGAATTCAATCTTCTTCAACATTTACTGACTCAGACATGGCATCTAAATTAGCACTACTGGTCTACTTGATATTAAAAATACAATAGTCAAACACACCAGTTATCAAAACCTACTGACAACATCAGAAAAAACTATAGTACCCAAAGAACTGCCTTATAAATATTATTTTCTTATTTCTGTGTTCTTTTTGCCTATATTTAATGTAGCTCTTATAATACACTCCAGAATTCAAAAAGCACAGAATTCTAAGCCACAACAGTTAAAAGATTTATAAAAGATTTTATTTTTATTTTTTTATTTTATTTTTTTAAAGATTTTATTTATTTATTTATTCATAGACACAGAGAGAGAGAGGCAGAGACACAGGGAGAGGGAGAAGCAGGCTCCATGCAGGGGAGCCTGATGTGGGACTTGATCCTGAGTCTCCAAGATCACACCCAAGGCTGCAGGCGGCACCAAACCGCTGCGCCACCAGGGCTGCCCTATAAAAGATTTTAAATACTATTCTTTTTGTGACAAAATTAAAAAAAAAAAAGAAAAATTTATACTTTACACTCAAAAGTGATTAACTTCAAACACCATGAACAACAAATATTTACAGAAGACCTATGTGCCACATTCACTGGATTCAGATTTTAAAAAAAAACCCACTAGTGACAACAAATTCAAAACCTACGCTTCATGAAAAAAAAATTTTTTTAAATATTTTATTTATTTATTCATGAGAAACACAGAGAGAGGCAGAGACAGAGGCAGAGGGAGAAGCAGGCTCCTTGTAGGGAGACCAATGAGGGACTTGATCCTGGGACTGCAGATCATGCCCTGAGCCAAAGGCAGATGCTCAACTGTTGAGTCACCCAGGCTGTCATCAACATAACATCCACACAAAAATGCCCTCATGATAAAAATCTTGCTCTGGGAATGTTTTAGGGAAAAATAGGGAAATCATGCAAAGGATTCTAGGAAGTAGCAACCATGTACTACCAATCTTTATAGTTTCCAAAGTCCGCAGGCATAAGAAAATGCCAAATATACAGCAAATACTTGATTAAAAAAAAACAACACAGTTGAGTAAATCAAATAGAACTATCCAAAATTAAGCAGTATAGACCAAACAGAGAGAGGCAAACCAGTGTGACTATACAAGGTCAATTACTGAGTTTCCTTAAACACTAACCACTTGTTTCCTTAAATACTAACCACTTGTAGAAGACAAATTTTGAACAATTGTTACAGGTTAATAATATCAATTCTACCCCTACCTCTAGGCTAAAATAATAAAATATACTTGTTTTTAATCCTATTAGGCACTTTATTTTAATCCTGACTAATCAAAAACAAACTAATGCCATATGCTCCTACCTCTAGAGCAAATAAAAATTACCAAATCCTTGGTATTCAATCACTATCATTTAGGATGAGGCACAAGAAATTTAACTAGAGCTGCTCTTCTAATTAATTTTAACATTTTTCATCCATCCTTGTGGCCAACTCAAGTAACACAGATTTTTTTAAAGATTTTTTTTTTTTTATTCATAGAGATGCAAAGAGAGAGAGAGTAGCAGAGACACAGGCAGAGGGAGAAGCAGGCTCCATGCAGAGAGCCTGACATGGGACTCGATCCAGGGTCTCCAGGATCACGACCTGGGCTGCAGGCAGCGCTAAACCACTGCGCCACCGGGGCTGCCCAGAAATAACATTTTTTATTAACTACGGGTCTTTTCAAAAATAGATTGGTGATGATTAAAAAAAAAAAAACACACACACATCCATCAATTTAGTCAACACTTTTTTCCAATGACCTCATCTCAAGGATGATAAACTACGAACCATCAGAGCCTTTTGTTTGTTTCTAAGAAAGTTTATCATTTACATGCATTTAATAACCAAAATACTTTATTTTTGTGTTTGTGTAAATTATTTCATTTGTTCTCAATATCCCTGTTATCACTTGTTCCATATTATAATTAGGCTAAGTAAGGTCTCTAATTGGGATTTGTTTCCTCTGAACCCTAACATACTTCCATTTTAGAGAAATACTTCTACATAAACAGTATTATCCAAGCATAGCAAGTGGAACACTATACAAAGATGACATTTCCAACCTCTTTTACATGACTTCCAAATTAAGTCAGAAGTATAACTTCACTATACATTCTACTACTTTGACTATTCTTAATATAAAAATACATCTTAAAATTTGACATTACTTTCAAAATGTACTTGTTTACAGGGGATGAAAGGTGGCAGTGAAGATGGGGGAGTATATTGCTAGACTGTTTCCTTACCATAAAAACAGAATAATTGTTAGCTATAAAAGTTCTAGCCTCAAAACAGATTCAGCATTTGAACAGGATTAAAATATATACACAGAAACTAAAGTTGTTAGTGAAAAAAAAAAAAAAAGAACATAGAAAGGTACAAGGTAACAATGGGCAAGGGTAGAAGTTCTGCTATGTGCTGCAAAGGCAAAATCTCAGAAAGAAAAATTAAGAGACACAAGGCCAGGAGGGTCTAAATCATTTGGATGGATATATTAAAGCAGAAATATATAAAAGTCAAACACTAAGTACTATCTAGTTGGAAACAGAAAATTGTGAGTAAGATATATATAATACAAAGAGACAACAATCACTTATTGTGTGAGGTCAAAGAAATACAGATATGTACAAATGCAGAAGCATGCCATTCCAAAATGCTTCCAAATCTATTCCACAGATGCTCTTAACTACATTTATCTTCTAACTTTCTCATCACAAAGATTCCTGTCCTGGGCTGCCTATTTCCTATTTTCCACATTCTTTCTCTACTTATTTCACTAACCATCCTTCTCCTAACAACTCTTTACAAAGTTTTAATCTTCTACCACTAAAACAATACACATTCTGAAAAAAAGCCAAAAGTTTAAAAATAATGCAGAATGCTATAAAGAAACAATTATATAAATATACCATACCCAAAGATATGTCTTAAAAAGGACTACTACCAAAAGATAGTGATTTTTTTAAAAGATTTATTTATTCATGAAAGAGAGAGAGAGAGAGAGAGAGAGAGAGGCAGAGACATAGGCGGAGGGAGAAGCAGGCTCCATGCAGGGAGCGCGATGTGGGACTTGATCCCAGCACTTGGGATCACGCCCTGAACCGAAGGTAGATGTTCAACCGCTGAGCCACCCAGGCATCCCCAAAGATAGGGATTTATGAATGTTAAAAATACAAAACTTTTAAAAACAAAACCTACTAGAATAATACCTGCAAAATTGTGATAATGGAACTAATCTTGTGAACTGATTTTACTAAAATTTAAATTTTATATAGAAATATAATGAATATGGGATCCCTGGGTGGCGCAGCGGTTTGGCGCCTGCCTTTGGCCCAGGGCGCGATCCTGGAGACCCAGGATCGAATCCCACATCGGGCTCCTGGTGCATGGAGCCTGCTTCTCCCTCTGCCTATGTCTCTGCCTCTCTCTCTCTCTCTCTGTGTGTGTAACTATCATAAATAAATAAAAATTAAAAAAAAAGAAATATAATGAATATATATATATATAATGGAAAACATTACATTAACAGTACATCAACATTCCTTCATATGAACAATACCTGATAGCATGTACTTTCTTTGCTATTAAGACAATAAGGACATCATATAACTGGTGTATACACATAGTCCAACCAGGCCATAAATGGTTAACAAAACTAGATTTAAAGACGTAAAGTCACCAAATAAAAAGCTAGTTAAAAATTGATTATAAATATTTTGTGATAGTCTGTCTAAATTCAAATTCATGACTAAGTATGTAATGTCAAGCTATATAAACTGAATAATTTCTATTAGTTTACCAAGTCTTTTTTTTTAAAGATTTTATTTATTTATTCATAGGGATGCAGAGAGAGAGAGAGAGAGAGAGAGAGAGAGAGAGAGAGAGGCGCAGAGACACAGGCAGAGGGAGAAGCAGGCTCCATGCAGGGAGCCTGACATGGGACTCGATCCCAGGATTCCAGGATCATGCTCTGGGCTGCAGGCGGCGCTAAACTCCTGCGCCACCGGGGCTGCCATAGTTTACCAAGTCTTATCTAATTTCACAGATAACTTTAACAGCATGACCACAAAAAAGAAAAAAACAGAAGAAGAGGAGGAAGATGAGGAGAAAAGGAAGAAGCATTACTTTGTGGGGAAGTAAGAAAAAAAATTTATTACATGTAAATCTTTTAAGGAAAAATGTCTTTAAAAAATATTATTTATTTTATTTGAGAGAGTGAGAGTGCAAGGGCGGGGAAGGGCGGGGGTAGAGAGAGAGAGAGAGGGAGAGAGAGAGAGAAAATCTCAAGCTGACTCTGCTGAGTGCAGAGTTTGACATCAGACTTGATCCCACGACCCTGGGATCATGACCTGAACCAAAACCAAGAGTCAGACACCTAACCAGATGCTTA